GCAGCCCAAATGTAAACAGTAAAAAATCCACGTGAAAAGAAACAACTACCTGCCAGGAGACAATGTAACGCAATAATCCAAGTAGCTCGAGTCAATTTATCAGATAGTAAAATGATAAAGACAGATACGGTTGTTTTTCTTTGTTTTTATGAAAGTGAAAAGGAGCAATGCAGTACCAAAACAGCAACAAAATCGTGTGTCATTATTATGGAATTTTGATGGAATAGTCACAAATGACTGAACAAAACATATTATGCCCCTGTTTGGGCTCCATTTGAGAGAAAATGTGAGGTTAAAAAATAAAGAAAAGTTTTAAATTTACGTATAATATTATTTTATGAAAGAATGTGCGATTGAAAATGAGTTTTGGAAAAATGGAACCCAAACGGGAGCTATATTTTTATCAAGGTCCTGAATATCAAATAGTGTCAAAGATATGAAAGACTGTTGGCTAAGAAACACCTATTCTTGTAAACTTGTTACATACCTATATCCGTTATGTATCAAAACTCCGATACCCTTCATACATACCAAACATTTGTTTTTTAATTATGTTACGTACTTTTATATTTTTTAAATTTTCGATACGTATTTTTAATTATTTAATATTTTTGTATGATTTTCAATACGTATTCGATATTTCATGGTTCAAATACACCTTTACTACGAAGCATTGCTTTGTAACTTCTTTTGCGACATTCTTCTTCTAGTGATAAAAAGAAATTGGAATATGCACTTTTTGTGCACTCTACAAGAATGAATAAAATAACTCTAAAATGAGCTAAAGAATTAGCTTCCATTCATAGCAATTTGTGTCTTTTTATCAAGAAAATTAGATCTCTACTCAAAAGGAGAATACAAAATATGGAACATTGTCGGAAACTCATTTGATACTCTTAAAAGTGTTGGACTACTTAAGGTTGCTAATCTCTCATTAGATGGCTAGAGTTGAAAAGCGTTAATTTTTTAAGATAATGAAGAAATTAATGCTAATGATGGTGAAAAAAAAGAAGTTTCAACAATTAATGACTAAGATAAAGTACCTTAGTATTTTATTTTATTATTATTATCAAGCTTAATTTTTTTATATTAATAAAATTATGTTAAGTTATATAACTCAACGTATCCTAATCTTTTCAAAAAAGTCATATCGGCACATCCACATCATATCGTATCCGAAATACATATCCGTATCTGCATCCATTCTGCTTAGGTTGGATGACAAAATTGAGCAATGGTAGAGTCAACAAACATTTTGTCCCAACGAGAATAATTGATCCGGTAAACAATACATGGTGAAGCATTTAATGGCATTGATATAAGCCATAGCTCTTACCTCTCCACTACCAGCAAAAGCTTCTGTACCACGGGTTGTTAAAGTAGATGAAGAAGAAAATGCTGTATCTCCTTGAATTTCTAGCTCGTCATCAGTATTCCAATCAATGTTGTCGCTATCCTCTCCAGATGCACTTTTGTCCTGAAAGTGTACATTGTTCACGTAGAACAGGATAAATATTAAGTTAACATTGCTAAAACTCATAGCAAAAAGCTATCAATATCCCTAGTAATGTGACAGGAGGATACCAGTATCACATATGTGAGTTATTAAAAATCGCAAGCAAAGTGATTAAAAATTAAAACAGATTGAGAACACATACAAGAGAATGAACTACCATATTTTTCGAAGTTTGACAAAGCAAAAGATTCCTAACCTGTACAACAAAAATTTTACTCGGGTCAGAATCTAAATGATATAATCAATAACAAATAAAAAATAATAATCAAAGTGTGGTTTCTTTCAGTTTAAAATTGGTCACTAATTAATAGAAAAGATTTAGAAAAGTCTCAGATATCAAGGAGGTTTGATTTAATTCTTTGAACTCACCAAATCCTCAACAATTCTAGAATCCAATCCCTAGATAAACCCGTTTCTGTGGATTTCACACTAAAGGGTATAAATGAAAATGCGAGTATCAAATTAAAAAGCATTTCTCGCCTTCTCTCGCGTGTTACGCCTTTTAATTAAGATTTCATAAAAACTTTATGAATTGAATAATTCTAAAGGAACAAAAATAAATTCCAATAATACCTACAAATTTATCTCCAAAGCTAGAATTCACTGTGAAGCTTAGCTACCTTCGAACAAAATTGATATAGTGCCTCGTTCATGTAAACCTAAAACAAAACCCGATAATCAAAAAAAAAAAAAATTAAGAAAACCAATATTCAAGAAATCAAACAATTGAAACACAAGAATTCAAAGAAACTGAAAACAAATGTCACACAAAATTTAGGGCTTGTTTAAGCCACATTATTTTCAAAAAAATATATTCTTTAACATTAATTTGACATCATTTCAACCACACATTCTTTAATAAAATAATATTACACGCAAATCTAAAACTTTTCCTTATTCTTAGCCACACATTTCCCATTGATTTGACATGAATAATGCATTTTTTCCTAGAATGTGGATCAAACATGGGCTTAGGGAACATATGCCTACATAGAAATAAGGTTATGTTCGATAAAAATTGCATGGAAAGAAGTTCTAGGCAATTCCATGGAACGAATAAGTTTTAGGCTATTGAACTGTCTAGAACTTATTTGCATGTAAATTGTCAATTAAATGTGTTTGACTGACTTAATTTTTAACCTAGAAAATGTTGTACTTTTCCATCTTTTGGTATTTGATAACCATTATTTTCCATAGAAATTGTCACTTTTTCCATGGAACTTGTACCTTTTCTCCAAAACCTATCCCAACAGGAATTCAACATTGACATAACAAATTATATAACCAATTACCATGTAAAATTCCCATAAGGACAAGAACTCCTATCCCATTCCCTGAATCACAGAATTGCAAAGCACATTGCACCACTTTACAAAAACTAATAAAACAATTATTGACCAACACGAAATTGGGTCCAAGATCTGATTGCAATTCAAAGCAGGGCATTTGATGTTTCCCATGTGTCATCCCCAATTGCAAAGCACATTGCACCACTATACAAAAACTAATAAACCAACTATTGAACAACACGAAATTGGGTCCAAGATCTGATTGCAATTCAAAGCAGGGCATTTGATGTTTCCCACGTCTCATCCCCAAGCTTCACTTGAATGTACTTGATAATGCAATCAGTACAAAAAGGGTTGCTACAGTTCTTGTTCTTGAATTTTCAATCATGTAATATCATGGGCTTGATGCAGATTTCGCATGTGAAGGCTAGATTATCATCTTCTGGAATTTCTTGATTTTGATCTTCTTGTTGATCTTGGGATTGCTGGTTTTAGTTTGTACTGTAGGGGAGTGACAGCAAAGTGTTTCCCATATTTCCTATGAGTTAAACTTGTGAGCATACGAAGTGGGCAAAGTTCGCATACATATTGAGTTCTTCTTCACAATTCTCAAATGCATACGTTTTTCGTTTCTTTTTAATTTTGTATAAATAAATTAAAGATAAGAAATGCAATTGGCTGGGATGGAATTCTTATCAAGGAGTGGGTATTATATGACTGATAAGACAGGTAAAAATTGTAGGTATGCTAAGGGCCAAAGGCATGCATCACTTTACAGCAATGTGATCCCAGAACAAATAGACAAAATCAAGTTCCCCTTTCTTCAAATCAACGCCATTTGAAACGAAATCATTACATCATGCATTCCAAAACCAGAGAAAAAGTGTTGCACCAGACTCAAATGCAGTTTTGGAAGTTAAATTTAAAAATGCACCACAAGCTCCAAATTAACAACTGTTTAAAGAAAATATTAACCTATTACTATCTGTAAAAGATTCCTTAACAGATACAAGCACCAAAGCAGTATCCTATAATATTTCTGTTCAGCCAAATCTTAAATTCACCAGTTAATAGCCCAGACTTTCTTCATTCAAACGCAGTAATTTATAGCACGGAGAAAACACAGTATGTATTAAGCAAACCAATTAAATAAAGGAAGAAAATAGAATACCCGACAATATTCGGTGAGAATTACTAACCTCACTTCAACTACAGCACCAAGAGCATGAAGCCCACGGACATAAATAGCAATTGGCCGAGCCAAAATATCATATCCATCGGGCAAACCAACCACAGCCTCACCGAACCTAACTTCCAAATGCTAATCTAAATCAAATATCAAGTTTCACACAGTTTATATCAAATAGAAGGTATAGGATGCAACAAAACACCCTACATGACACAATTTTTCAACAAATCCACTCAATATCGGCCCCAATAAAATGAATGCACGTAAAATACCTAGATCTCGAAATCGATTGAATGGATGAAAGAACGATTAAAATCGAAATTTCCCCAGTTCCTATCTCTCCTAAAAGAGCAAGATAATTTCGTAAGAAATTGAAATCGAGACATATACTCGTTGATCTGAGCAAAGCGTGAAAGGCCTTCTTCCTGAAATTTTTTCCGGTGGGTTTATAAGAGAGAGTAACGTTTATGTTGCCGGTAGTGAGAGAGAACGGAGGAAACGTGAGTGGGTAAACGAGAGAGAGAGAGAGAGAGAGAGCGGAGTAGGCAGTGAAGTTAAAGCACGTTTGTCACTCATTAAATTTCATTTTATTTTTCTCTTTCATGTTTTTAATCACACAATTTTTCGTAAAATAATATTACACGTAAATCTCATTTTTAAAATAAAAATAAGTAAAATAGTATTTTTTTAACATAAATAATTGAAAAATAAATAAAAAATTTAATTTACGTGTAATATTATTTTATGAAAGATTGTATAATTAAAAATACGAAAAAAATGAAATTGAATTTAATAAGAGGCAAACGGAGCTTATTTAAGTCCTCATTTTCAAAAAATATTTTTTTCATTTTTTTATTTTAAAATTTTTAATAAAATAATATTATAAGTAAATTCAAAATTTTAAAATTTTTAATCATACATTTTTCATCAATCTACTATTATAAAATAAATGGAGCTCAAAAAATTTTGGAAAGCTTGCTTTGAAAATAAAATTTTTCTTTCTTTGAAAAAAATATAATCACATATTTAATTTTTTAAAATATTTTTATGAAAAATAACAATTAAATACTTCAAAAGTATGAAGTTCGATGAAAATAAAGATAATCAAACACGAACTAACAACTAGAAAAAATAGACAAAGAAAAGGAGAAAATTTTAAAGATTCTCCTCTTTACTCAAAAATAAGGAAAATGCTGCGAGTCCACATACACGAGTGGACTCCACGATTATTTTAATATTGAGGTTCATTAATGTAATGCGAAAGGACTATCGAAAATGATGTAAAAAATGATATACTTAAAACATGCTTCAAGAAATAATCAAGAGCCCAAAGCACAAAGCAGAAGGGGCTTTTTTGTGTGTACTATGTAGTGTAAAAATCTGTGCAGATGGCACTGACCGTAAAATCAATTCGAATCTACGCGCCCAGGGCATAAATTAATTGAAAATTTTCACATTTTACTTTTAAGAAATTCCAAAACGGCCCTTAAGTAATTTTCTTGCCCACTTAGTCACTCAAATAGAAAATCTTAATGTATTGACGTTATGTGTCGCATTAGACTCGAAGGCGTTATCTCGTCACTCCACAAAAAAAACATTATCATGGTTTCATAAAAACTCGTACGACTAAAATTAACTAAATTTCAAATTTGACAACACCTACTGTTTATTATAAAAACGTCTTGCATCGCATAAGGAATAATCTCCGTCAATTCACTGCTCTAAGTTATCTTTTCAAACCATGTGACCAATTGTAAACCGACTTTAGAAATTTCTTATAAACTTCAATGGTTATTGATGAAATTAGCTCTGATGAATTATATTTTATTTGAGAAGAAAGCAAGTATAATGGATTTCTATATTCTCAAGTTTGGACAAGTAAAAAAGTTGGAAGCAAGTATAATGAATTCTATACTCTCAAGTTTGGACACGCAAAAAAGTGTGAAATGAGTTATTCTATATTCTCTACTCTCAAGTAAAGACAAGCCATCTGTAATAGAATTAAATGGATGGCATTAAAGGTGGATTGGACAGTATTGCAGTGATATCATTAGAAAGACATATAGGTAATGAAATACATAATTCAGAACATTTTTTTCTTTCTTTGAATATGTGCAAATAATTTAGCTTTCTTTCACTCTAAGGTGAAAAATACCTTCTTTTTTTAAAGTAATTCTTATGCTAGAAATGTTTCTTTCTATGTACAAACATATTTAGCCCATGTACGATTATTACATTTTTAATAGATTCTGATAGAAGTTGATAAAAAGTGTGGTTGAAAATTTGTAAGTTCATAAAATATTTGATTAAAATTAATTGTTAACTTTGACTAAAATTAAAATTTATATTTTAATCCTTATTAGATATGGGCTCAGAAAACTAACTTATTTTCTACTTTTAAGTGAAAATATTAAGTTTTTTAGAACTCTACGTAAATAAAAAGTTTGTTTCAAAATTAACTCTTAGGTATTGCCAGAATAGGAAACCTAAATTAATAAAAGTTATTTATTGTAAATTTTACTTTCATATTTCTGTGTACAATTACCTAACAAGTAAATTTGCTTAAACGCAGTAACGTGATTTAGCATGTCAAGGATGGGATTTGGGGGAAGGTAGAAGGGAAGGGGGAAAGGAAAAACAGCTTAAAGGATTTTCATCCTATTCTTCTTCTTAACCAATGCGTTTGAGGGGATTAAAATACTTTAGTTTTTTTGAGGTAGGGTCAGTAATTTTGATATTACTTACATCGAAAGTCGGATAAAATTAAATTAATCCTTATTTAATCTAATAGAAGTGATCGAACTTGCAGTTATAACGTATTGAGCACTTATTTAAAGTTGGTAATAAGATAATTTAAAAAATATTTATTACCCGCCTAACTTTTAGGCACTTGCCAAAAGAGTTTAGAGCTAAAATTTTACGATTTAACAGTTTTTAGAAATTTTCCTCCCTCCAATACAAGGGGATGAAGATCCTTTAACTTTACGTGTTAAACTGTCTAAATCAAATATTGCATGATAATCAATAGCAACATAAAACTAATGATGTTACTGCGTCAATACTCTCGAGTTTGGACAAGTCATCTCAACTGTTATAATTTAAAGTAACTATTAAAATGTATTATACTTTGTGCAACTTAGCTAACCAAAATCTATATCACTCTCTAAGATAATATGTTGTTAATACTACATTTCTTCAAGGATTCAACTATTGTCCTACCTTCAAGCTTCAACCATGAAAAGGAACAATAGCACACAGTAATGCATAGGACCTCCATCCCACTATGGGAAAGGTATAGATGGCTTCTAAAAGATGAACAGATTTTATACTCTCGAGTCTAGACAAGTCATCTTTTTTATTACAGTAAAGTCAAATTTTAATATGCAATAAATATTATGTAATGAATAACAAATGTTGACAATGGCTCAATTATTGTCCTCTTTTCAAGGCTTCAACCATGAAAAGAATCAATGAATGGTACACAGTGATGGACAGCACCCAATGCCACTATGATATTGATGGCTCCTAAAAAGGCTAAAAGCAAGTAGAATAAGGGCATATTCAATAGTGATTATGATAATTGATTTTTTGACTGTTGGAATGAAAAGTAAATCTCACCCGTGAGTAAAAAAGTCAAAAATGACAGTTTAAATAGTAAAATAATAGTCAAAAAATTAATTTTTTGAGGTGAAAAATTATTACCAAAACGGGGGCTAAATTCATACTCTCGAGTTTAAACAAGTCAGCATTAACAATACGGACTACAATTTGACTTTCATAATACATTTTCAAATATAAATAACTATTCGCTGACTTAATATAACATCACTCCTTCAAAAGTCCGGAGTTAAAAAAGAATTATGGGTTCCAATTATGCACAATAATTACATTTTTAATGCAATTTTTATTATTTTTAGTACAAATAAATTGCTGCGAAGACACTTCGAGACCCACCATTGGCAGAATTTGGGCCTAAAGGTAATGAAACTACCTATGATTCCAAGGTATCAAATGTTCGGGAGACAGTAACTTATGGACATTTATTTACTTTCTAATAAATTTTTAAGATTGTCACATACTCAAGTAAATTTGAATTAGTCATTTGTTCATACGGTCGAAAAAGGCATATAAAGAATATTCATATTGATTCTGGCAATTTAGCAACACCGGAAGCAGCATGCTACGTGACTTCAAGGGATGGACCCGATCAAACGACCGTCTTGCTATTTTTGAAGGAGATGAAATCCAAAACACCCTTATTCGCATGTAGTAGGATGGCCCAATAATAATAGGTCAGAACTCTCATAAATGGACTGAACAGGAGGAGCTGATGACAAGATAGACCATTTAACTAAGGTGTCAATGGCATTGCGCAAGTGCAAAGCCCAACTCAGCTTAGATCCGATTCGATTCCCATTAACTTAATTTATAGTTTGCTATAGGATTATTTTCAACCACACATTTTTCCAAAATTTTTCCTTAATTTTTAACAACACGTTCTTCTAAAAATACTATTCAAAACTCATTTTCTTTCCAATTGATCGGAATCAAAGAGGCACTTAATTGAGAACCAGTTTATCAACATCAAGACTTTCCAAACCCAACAGCTACCTTCCTCCTCCTGCGTGAATCTATTCTTTCAGGGCTTGGGAACCCGGTCTTCTCCTCATATCTCTTCTCCATGGCCTGCCAATGGTGCATTAAGCAATTTATAGTTAAGTTAAACCTTCGGCTATTAAAGATTTCTTATGACAAGATTACATCCATGATCAGAAGATAATTGGCAGAAATAAAGATCGTGACATACAATTGCAAGCAACACTTACCTGTAAATCTTCCCGGATACTGTCAAGGACTTCATTGCTCATTCTATCAAAGAATAAAATCCCCTGCATTTTTTAATTCAGTAATTAATAAACAATAAGGACCATATTGTCAATAATCATTGAATCAACCATATGTTCATTGCAACCAAGTCAGGTGTAAGAAATTTTATGCAAAATCTTCCACGTTAAAAATTGTTTAGAGAGAATAAGCACAAACAAACATCAACCATAAAATCGTTCAGTGAAAACTTTCAGGCCTGAGTATATTTCCTTATCAGCAAGCAATATAAAAAATTAACGGTTCCTGATTATACAACCTGAAGATGATCATATTCATGCTGAAATACTCGTGCAGGAAGTCCCGACAAGTTAATTGTAAACCTTGCACCAGCCATATCCTGTGCATCAACCTTCAATGAATCTGGTCTCTAAAGAATAAGAATGAAAGGCAGCTTATATTAATCGAAGACCAAGCTAAATAAAGGAAAAAAAATTTAGAAGGTTAAATGGTAAAAATTGCTGAAAAGTTTATCGATCAAAAATACAGTTATAGCCCCTATTTGGGCTCCATTAAAATTTTTTTGGGGAAAAATGCATTTTGGGATAGCGACTTTTTTATAGAATGTGTGGTTAAAAATAAGAGAGAGAAAAATACAGTTTGAAGATAATGGAGCCCAAACAAGGGACTGTGTACGCTAATGCCGTGCCCTTTAACACCAGAAT